CTAGAAAGCAAGCTCCACAATGAAAGGGACATGTTTGACTCATTCATTTTACTATTACCAGTGCCCAACATACTAACTGGCTCATAATAAGCCACCCAATACACATTGATTAAATGAGTGGCCCCTTATTTGACACTTTATGTTATATTCATAGAAATTTTTACAATTTTAATTACATTTTTATGTGTGCTTTTATTGACTTCATATCTTTTTCTTCACTAAAGTTCTGTGAGAACAAAGATCAAGTCCATTTTGTTTAGTGATGTATTACTGGGGTATTGCAAGTAATGAGGCCTGTAACATACACTTATTCAATAAAAGAATGCATTAAATAATTATCAATCAGTGAAATACACTTAAAAGGGGTTCAGACAATCCATTGTGTTAAAGCAAATTTACTCTTCTTTTAATAATCTGAACTTGAGAAAGGCAAGTTTCAACAAGTAATGATTCAGTATGACCCATTTAATTGCTTAATTCCATCCATAAAAATTAGATCTAATAACTGATCTGTTGAATAGAGATTTTACTTAATTTTTTTTGAATCACTGATCCAGTCTTGTGTGTTAGCATCTGCTTCAAATAGACTGTTTGTTCATGGGGACAGAATGTACTTAAAAGCATTAATCATGTTTAACAACCCACTCCTTATGGTTTAACTGTTAGCCTCAGTGTAATTTTGATAGAAAGTTCCACTTAAGAGGTTTCCAGAATTGAAACTGGAGTGCAACTTTGACTCACACTTCTGATCTGTGGAAAAATTTTAGTGCCATCGTGTCAAATGACCGTTGTGGTAGGTGGCAAAAGTGGCCACAGAACCCTGTATCTCCTCCCATCAAAAGGCGAGTCTACTTTCCTCTTGGTTGAATCTGTGCTGGCCCTGGGACTTGTTTTGATCAATAGAATATGGCAAGAGTAATATTGTGCCAGTTTTAGGTCTCAGCCTCAAAAGATCTCACAGCTTCTGCTCTTGCTCTCTTAGGAATCTGCAAATGCCATGTGAACAAGCTTGGCTAGCCTGCTGGAGGGAAGAAAACACATGGAGAGGGACCGTGGTTCTTTCACATAGCCAAGCTGAAGCCAGCATAGTCAGCCAGCCTGGCCAACCCACCAGCTATCTGAAGAAGCAAGAGACAGCCCAGCTATATTAGTTTGCCAAGGTTACTATAACAAAGTACAAGACTGGGTGGCTTAAATAACAGAAATTTATTTTCTCAAAGTTCTAGAGGCTAGAAGTCTGAGATTAAAGTGTTGGCGGGGTTGGTTTCCTTTGAGGTCTATGAGGGTCAGTCCCAGGCCTCTCTCCTTGGCTTACAGTCAGCTATCTTTATGTTCACATGGTTTTCTCCCTGTGTCTTCATGTTGTCGTCCCTCTGTATGCATCTGTGTCCAAATTTCCTCCTCGTATAAGAACACCAGTCATATTAGTTTATAGTGTAACCTAATGACCTCATTTTACCTTAATTACTCTCTAAAGACCCTCTCTCCAAATATGGTAACATTCTGAGGTACTGTGGGTTAGGACTTCAATATGTGAATTTGAAGGGGCACAAGGTGGGGGGCAGGATGAAGCAATTCAGCTCATAATACCAGCCAAGATCAGCAAACATAAGAACTGCCCAGCTCAGCCTCGCCCAAATTGCTGACCTACCAAATAGATAGCTAAATAAATAGATGTTGCTTTGTATTCCTAAGTAACTAATACAACCACCCTTAATTGAATTTCAGTGTGTCTGCTAGTTGGTTTTAAGATTGTGGCTTAAACAACATTTACTTCTCAGATTTCTGGAGGCCAGAAAGTCCAGCATCAAGGCACTGGCAGTTTTAGGGTCTGAAGGGAGCCTGCTTCCTGGTTTCCAAGATGACCTGTGTCTTCACATGGCAAAAGGATGAGGGAGCTCTCTAGGGTCTCTTTTATAAGGAAAGTAACCCTATTCATGAGGGCTCCATTGTCTGTGCTAATCACTTCCCAAAAGTCGTATCTCCTACTACCATCACTGGGGATTCTGGAGGGACACAGACATTGAGTCTATAGCAGGAGACTTCCCAGATATTACTAAGTGAGCTACAAGAGTTATGCGGTTACATGGAAAACTTGCTAAGATAAACATTCACTGAAAACATGCTTAGTCTCTCTAACATTCTAAGGGTGAGCCAGATGTAATTCACCACACCTATTCAGTTGTGTGTTTTTTTCATGTTGTCCTTTGGGAAGTCCAATGGAAGTGAGCATGCTATCATCTGAAACTCAGATCTAGTACTGTGCAATCAACATCTCTGCCTAAAGTATGTTCTTCAAAGTATGTTCTTGTCCAAGTTTAACATGGCCTGTTTTTAAAAATATCAAATCAAGCATGCCTCATAGTACCCTCACGTAGGTAGAAACCATGGTTTGTTTATTTTCATGTGTAACATTGCATCTCTAAACACTAATATTTTCACCAGAATAAACTGAGTCTTGTGAAATTAAAGTTCATGCATGTCATAAATGTTTCCCCAACTGAGTAAATATTGAAATGAGCAATTCTACTTTTTGACAGAGAGTGTTAAATGTGCTGGATCATCAAATGTGACTTAGTAGTCCAAAGGGTATCCTAATGTTTTTGGCAATATTTCGAAGCTCTGATGTATCTTCCAGCCAACTGTTGCTTTGAAGGGCAGTTTCTTCACGTAGCAGGAAGTTTTTCTAGTTAATTCATCTTTACTCAGAGTTTCATATTTTCCTCTTTCAATGTTTCCTACATATTTAAGCACAGCTAAAATTGTGACCAAGGAATGTTTTTAAAATCCTATCTGGTTAAGTAGCCTTATTACTCTCATGTTAGGAAACTGATAACTCAAGGTTCTAACTTTAAAAATATATATATATTTATATTTATATATATATATTTCTTTATTGATTTCAGAGAGAGGAGGGAACGGGTGAGAGATAAAAACATCAATGACGTGAGAAAATCATCCATCGGCTGCCTCTTGCACATCCCCTACTGGAGATCTAGCCCGAAACCCAGGCATGTGCCCTGACTAGGAATTTAATCGTCACCTCCTGGTTCATGCGTCAACCCTCAACCACTAAGACACCCCAGCCAGGTTCAAGGTTCCAATTTTAACTGAATTAATCTCATTCAAAATCCTGTCATGTTGCCCATCTTCATTAAGAATTTTATGTGAAAAATACTGAGAATTGAGATGTTTATGCTTTTGAAGGAGAAGTGCTCATGCTCCAAAATGTAATTTAAACCTAAGTCAATGTTATAAACAATTTAATTTTCCCTTTAAAAACATTTTTGCAGCCCTGGCCAGTGTGATTCAGTTGGTTGAGCCTTGCCCCATACATGGAAAGGTCGCCAGTTCAATTCCAGTCAGGGTACATGCCTGGGTTGTGGGCTCAATCCCCAGTAGGGGGCATGTAGGAGGCAGTTGATTGATGTTTCTTTTGTGTTTCTCCCTTCTTCTATCTCTCTAGAATCAGTAAAAACTTATTTAAAATTTTTTTTGCAAAAACTTAGTTTCTTTGGGATTCTCCACCATAGATCATGGACAATCCTACTGTCAAAAGAACCACTGTGCTCTCATCACCACAATTTCTCACTGTATTGAGGTCTAGTTACTGTTTTGCTTCAAAGTGTCAACATTTTCCCCTTGTGGTTGTCTGGGAAGATGGTGAGGTCTTGCCATTTCTTGGTCTTTACACTGCTTTCATTTTTGCATTGGCTTTAACTGGGTGTCTGCCATTTCCTATGTTCCAGGAAGCCTGCTGTTTCTACTTGATTCTAATTCAGTTTGTTAATATTCAAAGTTTATCTGGTTTATGGCTGTAGATTAAGTCCTAGATAATTTCATCTATGTTTGTAAATTGACTTTACCAGATAAGAGCCTTAATGTCAACATTAGGCTGCCCAGAAATTCTCTGTGCTTTGACTTTTTATTTTAATGGTCTGTAGCTAGGGAAAGTTGACTTAGCATGTAAGCATCCCTTCTTTGGCTGAAGGCCTCTTTCTGTCTTTCATCTCTGCTAGTATAATAACTTCTCTCCCGTTTTGTTTTGTTTTTATTTCCTTTTCATCTTTGCATGTTGTAGGGCATGAGAGTTCTCCAATTTTACTTTGCTTTCCTCTCACTCTGGAAATGATCTAGCTCCTTCAGGGTCTCTTTCATAATCAAATTTTCTTGATTTTGCTAGAACCAACAAGGATGAATCCCTTGTAATCCTTCCTGAGCAGAAAGTCTATGGGCCAGATCATATAAGACTATTTTTTTTTCTCCAGAATTTTCTAAATTTAAGTTGAAGAGATAGTGATGTCTATATTCTTGCAAAAATCACAATTGGAATCTCTTTTTTCAAACTTCCGGTAGCCTCTCCTGTTCAGAAAATACTCCGTCCCCACTCAGCACATTTTCCAGCGATCCGGAGAGAAATTCTCTGCTGAGGAATATTGGTTTGTCTAAAAACAGACAAACAAATAAAAGGTGTATCCAGTACAGCAGCCAGAATTGTTCCTTTACAATCCGTAGATTTATTTGAAGGAAAAAAAAAGACTTCTGAGTCTTTGATCACTATGACTCTATTGGCCAGGATCTAGAACATTAATCTAAACAAATGATTTTGACAGCTTTAATGATAAAGGTAATTCATGTCAGCTAAACTAACCAGTTATTGAGATGATCAGAACAACCTTAAGTGTCATCATGGGACCACCCTCTGGAGCCTCACATGCCATCTGTGACTGCTTGTATCACTAGATTCTTAAAGATCACAAAATATTTGAATGTCCTAAAAACTCTTTTAGATAATCTGAGAAATTCAGATAAATTGGTAGGTTTAGGATTTTTTAAAAAAACAGAAGGTAAAAATGCTTAGGTGACTGAAATGCATTCCAATAGAGGCGAAAATAGAATCAGTATTTATTAGGCATTTACTCTAGGAAAGACATTTTACAAAATTATCTCTTTATCCCTCATTTTATGAATGAGAAAACAAAGATTTAGAGATGTGAAGCTACCTGCCTAAGGTCACCCTCTGCCCTGGCTAATTTTTTTTATCTGATGTAACCAAGTCTCCCCCCCAAAGGCCACACTTATTCTGCTCTTCTCAGATGGCTTCCTACGAAGCTGAAAAGGCAAGGAAACAGGATTGATTTATTTAGCCATATTTTCTACATGATTTATTTTCAGCATCTCGTGACCCTGGAGACACTGCATGTGGATGTTTTCTGCACATGCAAATGGTAACTGAAAACAATGACATTGACACTGAAGGCTACTGCTTAGGATCAAGTAATGTGAACCAAGTACTCTGCAGATATGCTTTCATCTCACAGACCATGAGAGACACAGTGTAGAGGTTAAGAACATGGGTCTCTGGAGCCGGACTGCCCATGTTCAAATTCCTCTTCTTCCTCTCAAGCTCTGAGCAGGTTACTTAGCCTCTTTGCACTGCAGTTAGTTCATTCACAAAATGGGGACAGTTTTAAAGAACAGATGACCTTGTTGGGTTGAAGGATTAAATAAGCAATGCAGAAATATTATTTAGAGCTATGTCTGGCTTACAGCAAGCACTCAAAGCATGCTGCCTCTTACTATCTGATGCTCTGAGTCTTGAAGTTTCTATAAGTCTCTCTCACAACATTAGCCACCAGGACCTGTGGTGGTAGCATTAGACTGGCCTCAGGAGTTCCCAAGATATTTCATAGAATTCCTGGGAGCACCATCTCTATCATAAATAGCTGGAAGGGAATCAGCATTGAACTGTGGTTACAATGGCAGGCTATCAAGCCATGTATTTCTACAGACCAGGGTTTGAATCCTGATTCTACCACCTGGTAGAAATATAACCAGAGTAACCCAGCTGAGCATTTTTCCACATCTATATAAGGGGAGAATAGTAACTAGCACACAGAATTAGAGAGGTGAATAATAAAATCATGCTTGGGACAATATCTCTAGAGGTTCTTAAGAAGTGATTCATATATGCATTCATCATTTCAGTTCAATACTTCAAAGTCCAAAATAAAGTCTTTTGCTTTGTCTCTTTCGAGCTTACCTATCTACATCTTATATTGATAATGTCTTACACTTGTGTGGTGTGTCACAATTTACTTTCATCCATCACCTCATTTAACCCATAGAATACTTTGTGAGACAGATACCCCCACCCTTAGATTGCAGAGAAAGGCAGAGAGATTTACTGAAGGTCACAAAGTTGCTAAGTAGTTGAGCTAGAACTTGAATCCAGATCTTCTGAGAAAAGGCTTCTATAATAGTTTTTCATGTTCCTCTACTTTCTTCTGATGCTCTCAGGAGAATTTTTTAAGGATATATAAGCCAGAGGTCATAAGTTGCATTGGCCAAAGTGAAGCAAAGAAAGTCTTTCCTGAAAGCACCTACATAGTTTCAGAGTAGAGAAAGGGAGAGAGAAATGTGAGGATATGCTTCAACTTTAGCAAATATCTTTCCTTTGCAGTTCTCAAGTCAGTAAGAATCATGCGAAAAATTCATTTACAGAATTCCCACTGAGATTTGTGAACCTCCAAAAGGAGGGCAGGAAAATAAACTGAACAGACATCACACTTTTTCTATTTTATGTTTTCACTGATTTTTAAAAAATATAGTATGTTTTCACACACAGAAACATGAGCAGTGAGAAACCATTTAAAAACTCAGTAGAAATATTATTAAATTACAAAAAGACATGGTTGATAGGGATGTGTAGATAATTACTATGATTTTTTTTTTTTTGCCTAATCCACTGTCAATAACTTATTCCAGTGGTATGAGCTGACATTTACTTTCTTACCTTTTTTAAACTCCTGGGTTTCGGCTGAAGTTCAGTTTCCAGGAAATCTCTCCCCATTTGGGGTCACTGTGTACCACAGCCTCAAATTCCTCCCGAGGCCCTTGCCCATGTACACAGTCACACAACCCATCGTCTGTTCGGGCTGGCTTAGTGGACAGTGCCCATGTGACAAAATTATATCCCTCTGGAAGGAGCTGGAATGAAAGAGAACAGATATTACCCATGCAGGGACCGCACTGAGGGTAGGAAGCCACGCACGCTAGTGGGCCATCATCACAGCTTTGCCAGCAGGCTCTGATTTTCACATTTTGGTCTCTCCTAGTAGTCAGACTCCTTTTTAAAGAGTGCTGAGATATAAAAAAATGTAAAACTAATAGTCTCTTTATCCAGGAAAGCAGCCCTGTTGCTTTTCGCATTGAGAACTTTAAACAGAGAGGAAGATCAGCATATTATATTATCTGTGTTGGAGCAGAAAATAAGGGTGAGTTATAGGTCAGATATAAATACCTTGACAATCCACAAAGGGCTGGGAAAATAAAACTGTGAATCAAGCTTTACAGAGAATCACTTTTGGTTAGTGAAATTAACAGGATTGACTAAATTATTTCCCCCCAAATGATGAGGCATTTAAATGCCTGGATAGTTTCTATTTCATTTAATAGCATGCATTCCTTCTCCCCCACTGAAGAGACCTCTGTAACTTGGAAAATCAAGACTTTCTGTTCTTTTTTGTGAGCTTGTTTATCAGCTCCACAGACACATTGCGAGGTTTTTAGTTGGTTTGGGACTGAATGAGTGTGTGGTGCAAAAAAGGCCTCACCATGCAATTTAACAAATTCCAAAAAAAGGAACAAAAATCTGAGAGAAGGCATTCATAACAGTGAAAATTATGGTTGGTGAAACTTGGCTAAATTGGCTGAGGAATTCTTCATCTTTCTAAAAAGATTTGCCTCGTGGATCAGGGTGAAGATCAGCCCTGAAAGGACCTATTTGAAATCATGTTGTTCTTGCATCTGGCTGAGGACATACTACCCAGATTACCACACACCGATGCCATTTTTAGTCTTTCAATAGTTGATTGAAACGGGTTCACATCCTTTAAAGCACAATTCTTTATAGTTGTGATAGAGTCAATAAGCACTGGAGTACTTGCTGTAATATGTTCAGATTGAGTGAATATTCTGGTTAGATAAAAAGGATACCCCAAATCAATTTCTAGCTCAATGTTTATTTCTTGAGAATCATGTTAAAGTCTATTAGACTAGTTTCCTCTGCTACAGAAATCACAGCAGATTGGATATATTTAATTATTTCTTAAATAATAGTACCTGAAAGCAGAGTAAAATATTAAGTATCTTAAAAAATAGCCTTCTGAATCTGTGACCACTATGACTGTAGGCCCCGGGAATAGAACATAAATGAGGAAATTTCTGACAAGAAATCCTACTTCCAAAAAAAAAAAAAATGCCTGTGATGATTTTAAATATCTTATTATGCTCTCAGGTTGCCATTATGATTATTAAATATATATCCTAAATGATGTTGAAGATGATGATTTGTACAAGCTTTAGGCTATATTCTAAAAGATCTATTTTTGAAAAATTATATGATTGATGTACATAGCAGCATTATTCATTATAGCTAGAAGATAGAAGCAACCCAAGTATCTGTTGACAGGTGATTGAATAAACAAAATATGCTATATACATACAGTGAACTATTATTCAGCTTATCCAAACAATGGAATGTTATCTAGCCTTTTTGTTTTTGTTTTTTGTTTTTTTTTAAAAAAAGAAATCTTGTTACATACTAAAGCATGGATAAAACATGAGGACACTAAGCTAAGTGAAATAAGCCCCAGTCACAAAAAGACAAGTACTGTATGATTTTTACTAATATGAGATATCTAGAGTAGTTAAATTCATAGAAAAAGAAAGGCAAATGATGATTGCCAATAGTGGGGGTGGGAGTTGATGGGAAAATTGCTGTTTAATGGATACAGTGTTTTCATTTTGCAAGATGAAAAAGTTACAGAGATGTGTTGCTCAACAATGTGAATTCACTCAACTCTACTGAACTGTATGTACACTTAAAAACGGTTAAGATGGTAACTGTATGTGTATTTTACCACACTTTTTTTTATTTAAAATAAAACATTTCATGATTTAAGCTTGTAGTTCTGTCATTTCCTTCTCTTATAAATGTATATGTAGAAAATATGTAGGTTAAGAGGATAGAGTTTAGATTTTACTTTACAGGAAGTATGAAGAACAAGGTCTTAACATATTGTAAGTAGCCTTGGTCTCCCTTTTATAGCAGGCAGTATTGATGGGGAATACATTCTTTCCATTGATGGGAAAAAACAAGAAAGTATTTTCCTAAAACTTGTTCCCTAGAATTTTCTTATTCCATTAATGATCATTCCACTGTTTTGTTCCTTTCACTTTTCTATCCCCGTTGACTCTTCCCACAGTCTACTCAACGTGCTCAGGACTCCTGAATCCATTAACTTAATTTGCCTCAAGCTACCCCCTGTCTTTACAAATTCTTCATTGTCCAATTGGAGCTAACTGGGAAGTGGTTGATAAGAGAGGGTAGGAAATTCAAAATGCTGAGTAGGAATTCAAACTCTGTTGAATTGGGGTTTAATATTTAAGCCTGGAGCTGAGAGAAGAGGCAATGAACTAGTGTTGGAGAAATGGCTGCAGAGGGGCCAAAGGAAAAGAGAGGCCAGAAGACCAAATTAGAGGCAAAGTCTTCAGATAAAGGCATAAAGACAATAGTGGATACAAATGGATACTGCCAGATTTTTATGTATGTTTTCAATGTGGGTCCTGAAAATAGTAAGTTCCCATTGAACAACAGGTATGTTTTAGATGCTACTGCTACTAAAGGATCGACAATTCCAAAACTTTTACAATTTGGTCACATCCTGTATTCCAGCCATCTCCCTTCATTAGAGTCCCACTAAGCTGCTTGCTCTTTCACATGTCCATGATTTTATTAATACTATTTTCAGTCTAGATACAGCATGGTCCAGTAGAACTTTTTCTGTTGATGGAAATGTTCCCTATTTGCATGTTCCAGTTTAGTGGCCATTAGCCATATGTGACTAGAGGTTAACATAGTTCGACAGCACAAATCTAGAATGTCCTTTCCTATTTCCAAATCTGTTAAAATTCTACTTATTTCCTTTCAATATCCAACACTGTAGTAAATATTGTCAGTGCTCCACCTGGAGCCTCTCAGATTCCTTTAACTACCCGTGTGTCCCCCCTTGCCTCTCTGCTTTTGCTTCTAATAGCCTGTACATATGACTCTCTTCAGAGGGTTGTCCTCAATCTGCTGGAGCCATTGTGCATGAAAGGGTAGAAGTCAGAGAACCTGGAGCTTATGTCCTGCCCCCCCCCCCCCCCCCCCGCTCTCCCCCCCCCCCCCCCCCCCCCCGCCTCCCACCACCACCACCAGGGCAGCCCTCAGCCCCAGCCCCTGACTGATGGGTGCAGGAGTACAAAAACCTAGCTCTTTTCAACGCAGGCCACTCTGAGGCAGAACTCACCCTCCTGAATCCCCCGCGGTTCTGCTGGACTGTGCCTGAAATCTCATCCTGTGCTTGGTTCCTTTCCCTTCCTTATCTGACTTCTTCCACTTCCTTACAAGTTTCTCCTGGGAGCACTTCCTGGAGAAATCACTTGCACATGAATCCTCATATCGAGGTATCAGGGTCTGTGTCTAGGGAGCTCTAAGACAAACTAAAATACTGATTCCTCTGAGCTTTTCCCAGTCCACAGTCAGAATTCATCGCTGTTGAATAATTCCTCAAGGTTGCCATAGCACTTTATTAATGTCTCTAGTACAGCACCAAGTAAACGTTAGGCAATTATATTCATGACTAGGTCTCCAACTAGAATGTGAGCCATTCATGAGTAGAAATCATGTCATATTCATCCTCTTGCTCAACGTCTTGGTTGTTAAAGGGCAGTGATGGCGAACCTATGACACGCGTGTCAGAGGTGACAGGCGAACTCATTTTTTTGGTTGATTTTTCTTTGTTAAATGGCATTTAAATATATAAAATAAATATCAAAAATATACGTCTTTGTTTTACTATGGTTGCAAATATCAAAAAATTTCTATATGTGACACGGCACCAGAGTTAAGTTAGGGTTTTTCAAAATGCTGACACGCTGAGCTCAAAAGGTTCGTCATCACTGTTGTAGGGTCTCTAAAATATTTGTTGAATTTATTGGAATATAAAGGAAAACAAGGACTTGATGACTTTGTATCATTTTTCAATAAAATATTTAATGACTTAAGGTTATTAAAATTGAATAAAAGAGAGTTGGTTGTCATACAGTATTTATTTATTGTGCTATAGAGTTTTTCCATATTCAGTGATGATGGCTGGCAATTCTTTAAATTGAAAGAGATTAACATAAAGAATGTCTCAGATCCTCAATGGCAATACTTCCAGATTTTTATGCCTTACTCAAACTTTAGAGCCTTTAGAAATTCAACTGGGATGATTCAGATATGCCACTGAGCTGAGTCAGGGCAACACACACAACAGAAAGGAAAAAGCCCCACCTTTACTCCTTTGTTGGGCACAAGTCAATAAAACGTGAACCATGTTGAATATCTTGTGGCTATTTAAAAACATGTAATTGAAGACCCTCTAAATATTTATTAGATGAACAAATAAATAATGTTTAATATCAAGGAAAAAAACGGGTCACATAGTAGAACTTGTTTTAAATAGTGAAATATAGAAAATTTAAAAAAAAAGAAAACAATTATACCAGGGTGTTAGAAATGGCTAGTTCTGAATAGTGCCACTTTGGGTGTTTTTTTATTTGTGTGTTTGTTTGTTTTGCTAGTTTACTTTTTTATTGTTTAAAGTATTACATGTGTTTCCTTTTTCCCGATTGACCCCCTCCCATCACTCTCTCTCCCCCCAGAACAAGCCCCCACCACCCTAGTGTCCGGGTCCCTTGGTTATGCTAGTATATGTGCATATAAGTCCTTTGGTTGATCTCTTACCCCCCACCTCCCCTGCCTTCTCTCTGAGGTTGGACTGCCTGTTCAGTGTTTCTTTTTCTCTGGTTCTATTTTTGTTCATCAGTTTATGTTGTTCATTATTCCCACATATGAGTGAGATCATGTGATATTTATCTTTCTCTGACTGGCTTATTTAGCTTAGCATAATTCTCTCTAGGTCCATCCATGCTGCTGCAAATGATAAAAGTTCCTTCTTTTTTATAGCAGCATAATATTCCATCATGTAGATGTACCACAGGTTTTTAATCCACTCATCTGATGATGAGCACTTAGGCAGTTTCCAAATCTTAGTTATTGTAAATTGTGCTGCTATGAACATAGGGGTGCATATTTCCTTTCTGATTGGTGTTTCTGTTTTCTTGGGATATATTCCCAGAAGTGGGATTACTGGGTCGAATGGGAGTTCCATTTTTAATTTTTTGAGGAATCTCCATACTGTTCTCCACAGTGGATGTATCAGTCTGCATTCCCACCAGCAGTGCAAGAGGGTTCCTTGTTTTTTTAATACCTTCTTCATGCTTTGTTGAATTGTTCACATTTTCTACCATGAGTATATACAATTCTTAAAATTAGAAAACAAATATATTTTGAGAAGTCTCTAGCCACATCCACATCTTTCCAGACCTGTCAATTCCAAAAATCAGCAACAATAATCACAGATTTAGTCAGGTTTGCATACAGGGGAATAAAAATGAAAATAGCAGCATTATTTTGCTCATTGAGAAATCATTTTCAATTCAGTGACTCGGCTTCTAAAGCTTGATGCTATGAGTCTGGCAAATCCAAATGACTTATGATAGAGACGTAACACAACACAAACCACAAGTTGCCGATTCAACTGTACAATTTGATTCTTTCCTTACATACTCTCATGTATGATGTATTTTAAATATGAAGCCCAGATTCTTATGACAAAATTCAACCATTTGAACTTTTGAATAGCATTTCAAATGCATCATTGTTAATATAATTATGTTAGAAGCTAACAAATTAATTTGGTTAAGAGAATTAAACTGGCCATACTATGCCTTATTCCATCATATAAATATTTTCTAAATGGACTAGGATTATTATATTAGAAATACATTACTCAGAGAATTCCTGGTGACCAAACTGCTCAGATTCATTCAAGGAAATATCTTAACTTCTTTCCCTTTGAAATTAACCTTTCGCAATTAAATTATAAAGAAGAAACCAGACCTCATCCTCTCTGTATGGAGAGGGAAATGCTCTACAAGGCACCAAGTTTTTAGGTAAGCTTAATATTAGATTCCCATCTAAAAGAACACTTTTGGTAAGTGCATAGCAGTATTTCTTTTTTAAATGTGTTCACCTTTGTTTCCACATCTTCTATATATAACAGCCCCCAAGAAATCCAAAGGGCAGGAGCTATTATCCTTAATTTTCTGATGCATAACCTGCAGTCACAATGGAGTCTCCTTGAAGCCACCTGTCATTGGAAGCACAGCTCTCCTGACCTCCCATTGCAAGTGCATTCCCACAGGTACGGGCCGAAACACCTGAGGGATGGTTTGGTCTGCACTTGAAAAGCTGAGCGGAAATAACATTCCTCTACCACCTCAGGAAACTGCTGCGTGTTCTGCGCTCCTGAGAACTTCTCCCGAGTGCTTGGCAGGAATGTTCTGCTCCTGAGTGCAGAGTGGGGACCACCACGTGGGGGCGCCACTGAGGCCTGGGTCATGCTAGCTCTTGCACTATCCACCCAGCGGGGTGGTCTTTAGAAGGAGCTCTCAGCAGAGCACTGAGGAGGGCCAGGATTACCACGTCACCCACACGGTTCCTAGGGTCAGAACCCAGCCAGCTACAGCATATTAGCTATCCTAAAATAATAAAAACAAATTAATGGAATCGCCTCAAGGGAAATCAAACTCCACTTATAGGCCTGGTAGCAGAAACAGCTGTTAAAATTCATTACATTGGAAGTTCCTGGAGTAGCTTCTTGAGGATGTTTTTCAAAGTCTTTGGGTCACTAGTATAAAAAAACCTCGTTAAACATGATTCATCAGAAAATATTTTTGCGGGGAGGACATAGAGTGTATTTTGAAATCTTCATAGGCTGTAAGGTTGTGGCTGGCCCTTTGGCAGTTTGTAGTTCAGTAGGCTTTGACAGATGGGCTTGTTGTAGTTTTAAACTTCAAGAAGGGAAGATCAATGGCTGCATTAAAAACCCCAAAAGCCTTTCCACTGAGAATTAAAAACCCCCAAAGCTTTCCACTGAGCATGATTTTCCGTATCAAAAAAAAAAAAAACACCCAAAAACTTCTGTAAGATGTTTATAGATTTTTCACAAGTCTGGCTACAAATTCTTTAATAAAATTCTTAGCTAATGACAAGAGCAACCCAAAACCTATGTTACTTTAAAAAAAGAGTTGTTTATATACTTTTCTCTTCCAAGAATATTTCCACACTGCTAAAGGACTTTGGTTGTTATGTAGATGAAATATTTCAGGAAGAATTTCTATCATGTTAATAATAAAGGAATGTGAAAAAATCTAATGTTTTTCTTCCCTCTTATTTATTTATTTATTTATTTATTTATTGTCTAAAGTTTTACATATGTCTCCTTTTTCCCCGTTTGACCATCTCCCCAACAGCCATTCCCACCCGGGGCAAGCCCCCACTGCCCCAGTGTCTGCGTCCATTGGTTATGCTAATATGCATTCATACAAGTCCTTTGGTTGCTCTCTAACCCACCCCCCACCTGTGCCATTTGTCTCTGGATCTATTCTTATTCATCAAATTATGCTGATCATTATATCCCACATATGAGTGAGATCATGGGATATTTATCTTTCTCCAACTGGCTTATTTAGCTTAGCATAATGTTCTCCAGTTCCATCCATGCTGTTGCAAATGGTAAAAGTTCCTTCTTTTTTATAGTGGTGTAGTATTCCATTGTGTAGATATACCACAGTTTTTTAATCCACTCATCTGCTGATGGGCACATAGGCTGTTTCCAAATCTTAGCTATGGTAAATTGTGCTGCTATGAACATAGGGGTGCCCTCTTTTTTTTTTTTTAAGAACTTTGTTTTGGTTTCATTATAGATAATAATTATAATCAAAATATGAAAATCTTTCTCCCAGATTTTAAAGAAAAAGAACAAGATAAAAATTTGCAATTCCTTAGACTAGAATGATTTCAACAAAGGAGCTATGATTAAAGTTTAACAAATCAGAAAGAGAAAATAAGGTAGCTTTGAATTAATTCACTTATTAATAAAATCCTTATATTAAACCTAGGAAGTACCCCTTAAAACTTGAATAAAGATGATTTGGGGCCTCCTTATTAAATACTGTTATGTAGCTGACTTAAATGTTTGACTTTTGGTTAGTTTAGAATATATATAGGCTGAATGTATGGTTTTGAGAAGATGTTAGATAAATTCCTTAATGATTATCATTTGTTATTAGCTATTAAAGATAATGAAATATTTTTTTAAGGTAAAGTAAAATATATATTATTTACGTAAGAAATCATAAAGGAATGTGTCTAGTAAGAAAAGAAATGAGTTTAGATGTTCTCTCTCCTTCAAATTATTTATCTTAAAGAAAAAGAGGGCATTTGAATTAGCTGATCTCTGAAGACTTCTGCTTTTGAGTTCCAGGAAACTAGAATTCCAAGAACAGTACTCACACCAAGGAGGAGCTTCCAGCAACAGATGCAGGGCTAATGCATTCATTCAGGTACTCGGCAGGAATTTGAGGATGGTAGACCCTGCAAAATGGTGCTCATAAGTATATAAGTTAAGGTGTTTGATTATAAATAACAGAACTGTTAATTGCAGGTAAACAGGGAATCATTATAAAGCCATGGTTGGGGCTTATAGACCCAAGGGGAAACCTGCAGATGCCTGAAAGGACAGGAACCAGGGTCATTCAGGAGTCTAAGCGGCAGATCAGAACACTGCATAGGACAGATTCACTCCAACCATTTTTCTTTTGCCCTTTAGTCACTATGCTTATGAGTCAAAACATGGGGAAGAGAGTCCCTTTTCATATAATGAATTGATTCCACTATTCATTCTGCCCTGTTCCAGGGTCCCTTCACTCGTTGTAAAGGCTAGAAAGTTCAAAACCTATGTTGCTCAGTCTCCCTTGCAGCTAGCATCCCAGAGGTATTTATTCTTCAGCTAGCCATATTCATTTGTATCAGCCTGGGAAGGCAGGAGAGAGGTAGATACCACGCTGTGCTGCTTCTGCAATTTCTGCTCTAGAACATAGATGTCAAGGGCTTTGATTTTTCTGCAATAGCGCTAGCCAAGGTCTCAATATCTGGCCACTAGCTTAATAGGTGTTGAGAGGCATGGCATGGATCATCCATCTTGTTGGTTCATTCCCAGTGCACATATCATGACTTTGGTCACAGCTAAGGTGGCATATTCCTGGAGTCAACAGTTGCTGTGGGCACCAGAAGTTGGCACAGTGGCTTCCCAATTCCTCAGCTTCCCAATAGCAGCCATTTGCTTTGCACACCAGTCTTATACTGCCAGTCTTTCCTGGAGGCTTAGTTCTCTGTAATAAATCCCTTATGCTTAAACTAGAGTCCCAGTGCATGAATTTGTGCACAGGTAAGGTCTGGCCAGCCCACCCCAATGGGGGCCAATAGGGGCTGGGCTGGCATGGGGGGAGGGGACATGGGAGGTTGGCTGGCAGGCCCCGCCCCCAATCAGGATGGGGGAGCCGATCAGGGGCTGGGCCAGCCTGAGGGAGGGGCCGCAGAAAGTTGTGGGGGGCGCTGATTGGGGCCCCTATCAAGCCAGTTGGTGTGTGTCATAGTGACTGGTCATTCCTGTCATTCTGGTTGCTTGGCTTTTATATATATAGACTAGAGCCCAGTGCATGAAGATTCATGTATTCCGGGGGGGGGGTCCTTCAGCCCAGCCTGTGCCCTCTCACAGTCTGCGACCCCTCAGGGGATGTCCACCTGCCAACTTAGGCCCACTCTCAGGGGGATCGAGCCTAAGCTGGCAGTCAGACATCCCTCTGGCAGCCAGAAGCCCTCAGGGGATGTCCACCTGCCAGTGTAGGCCCACTCCCCAGGGGATCAGGCCTAAGCTGGCAGTCAGACATCACTCTGGCAGCCTGGGAGCCCTTGGGGGATGTCCAATTGATGGCTGTGGGGAGTGGGCCTAAGCCACAGTCGGACATCCTTAGCATTGCTGAGGAGGCACGAGAGGCTCCCCCCACTGCCGCTGCACTCACAGCCATCAGCCCAGCTTGTGGCTATGCAGAGTTCCCCCTGTGGGAGCACAATGACCACCAGGGGCAGCTCCTGCATTGAGCATCTGCCCCTTGGTGGTCAGTGCACAGCATAGGGGCTGGTTGTTCCCAGTTATTCCACTGTTAGGGTCAATTTGCATATTACCCTTTTATTATATACGATAGCCAGAGAGAGTTCCATTAGATTCCAATTGGCCATCATGGTTCATAAGTCCAGTTTGTGACTAGGGGAAGCAGACAGGTTGATTAATTGGCATCCCCACCAATAGTGCATACACAGTAGAAGAAGGGTAATTCTTCCAAAAGAAAATAATCTGCCCTTATCAAAAAAGGGGGTGATGGATTGTGGGTGGCAGAAAACAACAGACAACCATCCTGCAAATCAATACAAAGATATTAAGTCAACATTGTTTCAAGAGTGTGTTGGAGGCCCATTAAACAAAGCAAAGTTGTCTGAAATCCTAAAACACTACGGACATAATGAAAACTAAATTCTAACAAGGGAAGGGGTCAGAGGAGGCTCATAAAGTGACATCTGAGGGTCTTAAGGCTCACATAGTTGTGAAGACTTTCTAGAGAGTGGGAATTTAAGAAATTAATTTGAGGTGTGTATATGTATGTAGTATCTGAATAAAGACTGAGGAGTCAATTAATTAGTAAAGGGGAAAGTTTCATTCTGAGTTTTTCTCCAGTAGGTATACATTGTATAATTGGAAGGAAACCCAGAAAGGCAATGCAAACAATTGAGACAATAAAGACCTAGGTTGGCTAGCAGCAAGTTCCAAGATCCCAACCTGTGTACTTCTAGGCCCTTTCCAGAGGTCACACAGAAGCAGGCAGCTGCCTACCTCTAACCCTTTCATTGCCCTAGGCATCCTGACCTCCTTAAATAGAAATTGGATTTAATTCCTGAACTCATATCAAATGCTAAGGCTTATTATCTACGGACTCCCACATCACCTGATTTTTTTTTTTTTTTAATGACTTCCCAACATTCTTTCCTGGGCTAATTATGCTTCTCACGGTAGGGGACGCGGGAGGCATATTTGGTGTGCAATTTGCTTTGCACACCAGTCTCATACTGCCAGTCTTTCTTGGAGGCTTAGTTCCCTGCAATAAATCCCTTTATGCTTAAACTAGAGGCCCAGTGCATGAATTTGTGCACAGGTGAGGTTTAGCGGGCCCACCCCAATGGGGGCCAATGGGAGCCGGGAAGGGGATGCGGGAGGTTGGCTGGGAGGCCCCGCCCCTGATCATGGTCACTGGCTCAGGGACTAGCCCCTAGGATTATTAGCTTTGGGCCTCCAGATACTCCTGCTTTCCCCAAGGTAAATGAGACCCCTTGTTATTTCTTTCTCAACTCCAGCTAAAACTGTAGTTTTATTTCTCTCCTGATCTGTGACTGCTATAGTTCTCACTCAGCCATTTCACACATTGACTTCAGCTTTTACCTGCGCTGGAAATGCTGCGGGACAGTATTATCACAGTGATGCTTGGGCCCAAGCTAACACAGTGAGTTTTATGTGCCACCTGGTAGCATCATCAAGAGCAGGAAGGGGAGGAAAAATAACACTAATTGAATTTTCATTAAGTGTCAGGGAGGCGTCGGAGACCTTTCCCATGTGTTACTCATTTGTATAATTGATAGAGTGGTTTACGTCCCCAAGCCAGTCGTCCTTCGGTCTGTCAGCACTTCCCAGGGGCTGGTTTTGGTAGGATTCAGTTTAATTAAATACCTCCCTCCCAGCATCCCACTCATCCTGCCTTTTAATCTAGGAGACCCTCCAGTCCACCTCGCCTGCCCTTGCTTTCACCACTGCCACCCTCCCTGCTTTCCTCTCCTGTCCTGACTCCAATCTTTCTACAGTGAACCCCTGCTTCCACCCCCACATTCAAGCCAGTTCTGAGTGAAATGCATCCGTGCCCTCAGGTGCTGGTACTGACTTCACAGAGAGGACCAACCTGCGATAAGAATCAAATGTCTAACATTCCTACCATTTTCTAACAGTGTGTCCGCCTGTTTTAAATCAGTAGCATATGTTAAGTGATTCTCCCAACAGGATAAAAATGAGGATATGTTACTTACCACACCATTTCTCAAAGCTTTTCTTCTCTTCTTGACCTTCCACATTTTTCTTTCCAAGTGTCAAGAGAACTACTAACAGGTAAGGTCCTAAAATATGACAGGGTTTTCCTCAAAAGATTAGGGAGTAAAATCATAGGTCAAAAAGTGCATGAGTAGTAATGTAAGCAGCCCTAAGGAGACTTCCGTGACATGCTAAAAAGGAGGAAAGTCCTGATCCTCTATGTATAAGCTCGCACCTGCACATGCACAGAACTACTCACCATTTTACTCTTCTGTTGTAGCATTTAAGGAATTAAGCAAACAAACAAACAAACAAACAAGTAAAGAAAAACCCCCGAAACCAACAACTCATAGACACAGACAACAACATGGTGATTACCAGAGGGAAAGTAGGGTGGGGGAAGTAGAAGAGGATAAAGGGGGCATAAATGGTGATGGAAGGAGACTTGACTTGGGGTGGTGAACACACAATACAATATACACATGATGTATAATAGAATTGTACATCTGAAACCTATATAATTTTATTAACCAATGTTACCCCAGTAAATTTAATTAATTAAAATAAATCTAATGTGTTACATTGCCTACACTTTTTCACACACTGAATTCCCAAGCATAAAAGCTGTAAAAGAAAAATCTATTTTTGCAACAGGATTCCTGATATTCAGTGTTAGATGGGACTCTGCTTTAAAAAAAAAAAAATGATGGCTCTGGCTGAGAAAAAAGGTGTTAAGTTCCTAAGAGAACAGTGAGAAGTTGGGCCCAATCACCTCTCTAAGACTTGAGGTGTCAGGACACCTCCTGTCACTTCTACTCTCCATCCTGTCACTTCTTAACAATATAAGAGGAGAAATGGGAGCCAGAAGCACTTCATCTGTGTTAGGAAAAGAAACCATTTCCTCCCTCCAGCTCCCCCTACTGGGAAGAGAGGACTTTTCCTCCCCGAATCCAAGGAAGGGGAGCTGGGCCAGAATTCTAAGAATCCTGTATGTCAGTATATGGTAAGCATTAAGATATTTTAGCTTCTTTGTCTTCCTTATTAACCTATAAAGTAATAAAACATGGACATACTTCATAAACATTTCTATAAAACTGGTTTCAAGATGGAAGAGGGCACAGAGGGGATAAAGGATGATGAAAAAATGAAATAAATACTGGTTTCAAGAAGAGGTTTGGAAACGGATGTGAGTAATGACAATTCGGTGGAACAATTGTATCATTTTTCACAGTGCTCGTTTTGAAAGAACACACATTTAGATACACCTTCTTTGTTGTACTTGTTAAAAATAATTGTGCTCAGTCATGTGCAGTCTCACTTTACATGGGCTGTTGTGTAACTGAAGTAGCTGTAATATTCCCACCAATCATGAAGACTTGCAGCGGCGGGTTCTCAGGACTCACCTTTGCCCTCCTGCTTTCGTTCGTTGACCATAGGCAGTGAAGTGTTGAGAAATGTCTAGCAACTGGGTCTCCCTCCTCCCGTCGGGGAGTCGGGGTAGAGACACAACTGATTTATAAAGTAATTTCAAGTGATTAGCCACCGTGGGAATTTCAAGCTAACACTGTGGACTTGGGAACCGAGGAGCACACTTGGCCCTCAGGAGCCAGTGGGGGCTGTCTCCAGCTCACCACTGCACTGATCAATGTGACAGTCAGATCCCCTCATTCTGCACCATTGGTTCACTTAAAATGTGCTGTTCTATTACTGCTTCTTTCATGGTAAATGTCCTTCTTCCAGCAATTCCAAATAGTATAGAAAGAGCAAGCATAGTACCCAAGTAGGAGCAAGAATGGAAATTAAGCCAGGTGGGTACTCGAAGCAGCGAGGGAACCACTCTGTAAAGTACATGGTTGTCTAACCACCTTGCTGCACATCTGAAACTGATACAGAATAATACTGAATGTAAACTATAATTGAAAAATAAAATAAATAACAATTAAAATAATAATAAAACTGGCACAAGACTAATTAACAGGGGGAAAAAATGAAAAGGGAAAGGAAATGCAGATGGTCCTGGACTTATAATGGGGTCATGACCCAACAAATCCATCATAAATTGAAAATACTGTGAGTTGTAAATGCATTTGGTACACCTAACCTACCGGACATTGTAGCTTAGCATAGCCTATGTTCAATGTGCTCAGAACACAATATCCAAAAACTGCTGGCAATGTATGTAACGCACTGCAGAGGATCACCTGTGAACCCTCATGATAACCTGCCTGGGTGGGAGCTCTGGCCCAGCAGCATGAGATACCTTGTATCAAAACTCACTAGTCAGGGGAAAATCAAAATTCAAAATGTGACATACAGTTTCTACTGAATGTGTATTTCGCACCATTGTAAAGTAGAAAATTGTAAGTTGAGCCATCACAAGTTGGAGACCATTGCATAGAAAATGAAAAATATTGCCCTGACCGGTTTGGCTCAGTGGATAGAATGTTGGCCTGCGGACTGAGGGGTCCCAGATTCGATTCTGGTCAAGGGCATGTACCTTGGTTGTGGGCACATCCCCAGTAGGGGGTGTGCAGGAGGCAGCTGATTGATGTTTCTCTCTCATCGATGTTTCTAACTCTCTATCCCTCTCCCTTCCTCTCTGTAAAAAATCAGTAAAATATACATTTTTTTAAAAAAGAAAATGAAAAATATCAGTGTCTTTCAAAGAAGCCTTGATAGACAAAGGAGCTAATTGTGCACAGAGTTTTAGGGAACAATCCTATTTTTAAAAACATGAAATAGTAGTCCCACTGGTTTTAAATTCTTGCCATAATGACCCCTACTGTACCTTATCTTTTTTTAAAAAAGTATATTTTTATTGATTTCAGAGAAGAAAGGAGAGGGAAAGAGAAATAGAAACATCAATGATGAGAGAAAATCATTGATTGGCTGCCTCCTGCACGCCCCCTACTGGGAATTGAGCCCACAGCCTGGGCATATGACTTTGACCAGAATTGAACCCAGGATCCTTCTGGCCACAGGCCAACGCTCTATCCATTGAGCCAAACCAGCTAAGGCCCTATTGTACCTTATCTTAAAGCATAGTCCTTTTAGGTGGATTTGCTGCTGTGGCTTATAAAGTACCTCAGTATTATGGGCTACCCATAGAACTTGCTCTTCTTTTGTGCTAGGCCCGGCAGAGGTCCTCAAACTGTGGCCCACGGACCACATGCGGCCTGCCGAAAAACATTTATCCGGCCCGCCGGGTGTTTTTGCCACCGCTGCCTGTCCTTCTTAGCAGCCGACTCGTCCCGGGCCCTCAGTGCGCATGTGTGGAGTGTCTGAGGGACAGTGAACTGGCCCCCTGTTTAAAAAGTTTGAGGACCTCTGTGCTAGGGGTTAGCTCATCAGCCACACTCAAAGGCACAGTTCTTTACCCTCTGCAAAGGAGAGAACATCAGAGTCAAAAAGTTGGCAGAATCATTTTCTAAAGAAGAAAGCGTTCTGTCCCTTAGGCTGATGGGAGGAGGTACTAGCAGAAAAGCCACAGAAGCCCAGGCATACTTTACAGCTAGTAGTTCCCAAAACAAGATTTCTACCAGGGCCTCTGCAGCTACACTCTGCATACATTCAGGTTCTCAGCTGTGGCCCAAGGGAGATGAAAATGACCATGGCCCAATTAAAGTGCTCCCTCAGAAATTGAAATAAAAACATTATGACTAGCACTGATCTTTCTTAGAGGAAACCACCAAAAAGTCATACTGTTTTCAATCCAAAACAAAAAAGCATTAACAGCATGACCTCAATTTCACATCTGCATTAACAATTCAAGAAGAACATTTTGCAATCATCTATGAGTAGAAGAGTCTATCACTGGCCCAATTCAATTACATGTTGAACCGAAGCCAAAGCAATAACAAAAAAAGCACAGTAAAGACTTTTTGAATTTCCACATAGAACTTTTATAGAAGACTCACTTTGATTTTGGTATGCTGCACATTCCAATTATATCCTTATAACATTCAGTGAGCAGCATGAGGTCAGCCCAATTAACTGGCAGCCTGAAGACCCTCTTTCACTCTCTGGTTTGTCCCTGCTCAACTCCGATCTTCCCACTTTCTAATAACCAGAAGCTAAGCATGGAGCTAAAGTTCAGAGGTCTTACTAATTCCCTGCTATATTAAATAGAGGAAGAGCACGCTATAATGCAGTGGTTCTCAACCTTGGCTGCACATTAGAATCACCTGGGAATCTTTTTAAAATCCTGATTTCTGGGCCTCATCCTCTGGAAATTCTGATTCTTTGTTACTAATGTTGTGGCCCCACCCCATAACAAAGAAACAGAATTTCCGGAGGATGAGGCCCAGAAATCAGGATTTCAAAAAGATTCCCAGGTGATTCTAATGTGCAGCCAAGGTTGAGAACCACTGCTATAATGGTTTCATTTAAAACTAATTCAAGGTATAGATAATATAATATAGTCCCTCATCACCAAAGTTGGAGTTACAGTATCATATTTACTTTTATTTTGTTACTTGTCATAATCCATTCACCTCTTTTTCATAGAAAGAGAGAGAAAGAGAAAGAGAGAGAGAGAGAGAGAGAGAGAGAGAGAGAGAGAGAGAGAGAAAGAGAGAATAGCTATATAGAGAGAGGATTAAGACATGGTCAACTGTCCGGGGGAATCTACTCAGATTTAAGTAGTCTCTTCAGTCATGCAGAGGTAGAAGCAATCCCCAGTATGTCAGCTGTCAATTCAATATTGCATAGATTGATGCTAAAGAAACCTAAACCGAGAAGGCTAACCCCTTGGAGATGCCAGCAGGCAGAATGTAACTTCAAAGCTTAAAACTTAACTATGAACATGTTGAGAATGGTACCTACCTTGGAAGTCACTCCTTGCTTGTGTATATCCAAAGGCATTGCCTATAAACAGGAAATGGCCAGCCAGGGACTCCAGCAGTACAGTGACATTCAGCTGGCATAACTTCATGGAGCTGACCCTGTTTGGGAAACAGATGACCAACAGACACATCAAGGAACTTCCATAATTGTGAGCTAAAGTAGGGCAGCCACAAGCAGGATGGGGCATGAGGACTATTTTAAGGACTCCCAGAAGCACAGCTTCAAATGATGAGGCCCAGCTTTGTCACATTTGTCCGAAGGGGAAGTGCTTTTAAAGACCTTAGGCTGACTCACAAAACTCAGACAGAGCAACAAAAGACTTAAATTCTGCAAACAGCAGCCGTGACCACACTTGTGAGAACAGAATGAATCCTTACAGCTATCAGTCTCTTTCACTGTCATATTGGAATTGAAATGTCTATGCCTGCAAGTGAACTGGCCTGGGTAGAGAAATTAATTTGGAGCAATTTGCCTCAGCAATAAAAGTGGCAGGCAATGAGTCAATATATTAAAAACAAAACAAAACAAAACAAAAACCTGTTAGAGATCAGTGGAAAAGGAACAATGCCCCAATGTTTTTTAACTGGAAAAAAATATGAAAGAGCAATTTCTTAAAGTAGAACTGTATAGTCATCAGTATATATCAAAAAAGTTCAACCTAATTAGTGATCAAAGGCATAAAAGCTAACATTAATGAGACATCAAATTTCACCTATTTGAAGATTTTTTTAAAAACAGAGTGTTAGGAAGATGGCAGGAAAATGAGACTCACATGCATTTATTTATGCATTAAATATCTGTTGGGCACATAACTCAGGCAAAGCATTATTCCAGATGCCAGAAATATAGTAATGATTGGATTAATCAAAATTGTCCTCACAGAGCTTACATTCTAAAGGAGGGGAGAATTCCACAAGTTATTAAGATAATGTCAGACAATGCTAATCCTATACAAAGTAAAATGGGGTAATTGGACAAACAGTGACAGGGGAGAGGTCTATTTTAGACAAGTCTGGAAAGGCCATTCAGAGATGATGACATTTGCGTCATGATGGCAGCATGAGAGCAATTCTACCTCTAAAAATATACATTGCGGAAACAACGTGAATGTCAAAAATATATTTCATTGCAAAGATGTTAATTGCAGTCCATTTTATAATTGCAGAGAATTGCAAACAACATAAAAGGCATTTCAGCTTCCTGCTTGTTTTTGTCTCTCTTGGATCACTCCGTATGAAGGCAGCCAGCTGCCTTGTCTTGCGCAGTCCTATGGAAAAGCCCGTAGAGCAAGGAGCTGAGACTTTCACCAGGTAGTCAATGGAAGCTGTGAATTTTAAAGAATTGCCCCAAGTCATACGTTTTTCTAACTCAAGCCAAAAAAAAAGAAGAAGAAGTTTTGCTATTAAAAATATTTGGGAAATGCATACAGGAGCTAAACACTTGAAGGCTCATATTATACATTAACATTGACCTTCAGGAAAAAATATCTGTCCAACTTTCTTTAGTATGGTATTTCCCAATATTTGGTTAGTTATCTTTTCTTCCTTCTTTCCTTTCATCTTCTATAGCATAATAGAACTCATCATGCTGTGGAACACTTCAAGAAATGCCCGTCCACCTGGCTGGTATGGCTCAGTGGATTGAGTGCTGTCCCATGGACCAAGAGGTCCCAGGTTTGATTCCTGGTCAGGGCACATGCCTGGGTTGCGGGCTCAATTCCCAGTAGGAGATGTGTAGGAGGCAGCCAATCAATGTGTCTCTCTCATTGGTGTTTCTATCTCTCTCCCTTCCTCTCTATCTAAAAATCAATAAAAACATTTTTTTAAAAGAAATGCCCTTCTAATTGTATATCTGAGTTGCCAAAAGTGTGAGGTTTGCAACATCATCCATATTGGACCAACAGAGATGAATTCGAGTTTTGGGATTTTTGTACATTTGTGTGAATTGCTAGAGCCCTGCCTGGCCTGGTGTCCTAAAAACCTGCCTTGCCTGTTTTCTTAGTATAATCCATTGCCAAACATGGGTGCACACGGGAGTTATTTTTGAAGCATTAAATTGTTACTATATTTTTAATGTTTATTTTAACCTAGGTTCATCAACTTCAGTTCTTGAGTTCTGGTTAAGAGAAGAATTCAGAACCAAGACTCAAATTATAAGAGAAAGTTTATTTAGAAAGTCACAGAGGTAGAAGAAGTGAGTTGTAGAAGAAATGGGCTCAGGAAACAAGTTAGAGTGAAAGAAGGGCCCTTGGAGCATAGGGGAGAGGAGAGGAGAGGAGAGGAGAGAGAAAATAAGCGAACCATATTTTTAAATCCTTGTCCAGCTGCCCTCCACTATCTTGCTGACCCCTGAAACAGGGATACATGATTATTTAGATATTAGCTTGAAGAAAACAAAAAATAAAAATCTAAATTAAAACAAGAAAAAAGAATGGATATAAACTAATGCTGTGACTATTGGCTACTTGGATGTTGGTAACATAAAACTTTCCCCATTAATAATTAAAACTTTATTATATGTAAGTTCCTAAAAGCGTTTATCTGATGGAGATTTCTGAGAATGACCAAAAGACCTAAAAAACTCTAATAACTATAACCCCCTTTTATTTTAAATATATCCCACCTACAAAGACAAGGGAACCTATTGGCAAGAATGCAAAGCCATGTCACATTGGAAAGTCATTTTTTAAAACTCAGCCTGGCATAAGGGTTGACAGCAACAGAACAGACAGACCTGGAGGAAGCAAGGCCTGAAGAGCCCATTGGTGTAGGCTCAACACTTGGTTGCAGCCCAATGAGCAGTGAAGATTCATTACCAGTCCTTTCCAGCAACAGACTTTCCATGCTGGACACTGACCAGAAGAGACCACATTGCTTCTAGCAGAACCAATAGCACAGGCACACTTTGGAGATATTGAGTGCAGTGACAGTAACTGTAATAAAGCCTGTTCTAGTCTTTCTGCTGGTGGAGGGTCTTGTCTTCAGTTTGTAAAGAACACAACATCTGTGGAGCACAATGCAGTGAAGCGCAATGAAACGAGGTATGTCTGTAATTTCAGCAGCTTTCAATATTCTCTCTGCGGTAGATAGTACAAATGGTGGGTGCAGGCAAGTTCAAAGTTTTTATTTTATTTGCTTAATTATGTCCAGTTTTATGCTTCACATAACACCCTTCTGAGCTCTTAGGTTTTTCTGATACGTTAGACCACATCTTGCTAACGGATCCGCAAAATCAGATAAAGCACAGTTGCTCACAGACACTGTTCAAAACTTATAGCGGTTTCATGCTGAGTGTAGTTCCCAGGCAAGAAGCTTGTCTGGTTCCTGGCAAGGAGCTTGTCAGGGGCACTTTCACACTCAGGATGAGAATGGCTTTTTTTTATATATATAGTTTTATTGATTTCAGAGAGGAAGGGAGAGGGAGAGAGAGATAGAAACATCAATGATGAGAGAGAATCATTGATTGGCTGCCTCCTGCACATCTTACGCTAGGGATCGAGCCCACATCCAGGGCATGTGCCCTGACTAGGAATCGAACTATGACCTTCTGGTTCATAGGTCAATGTTCAAGCACTGAGCCATGCCAGTTGGGCAGGATGAGAACTGCTTTTAGTAAGGCTTACTACAAAATAAACTCTGGGCACTATTTATGCCTTTTGCCTTTTTTCATAAAAAATAAAAAAACCTTTTCCCATTTCTTTCACTTAGCAAAAACAGGTAATAATGCAGGCCTTTTGAAAAAGCAAAGTGGGGTAAAGTGCTCTTTCAAAAAGCAGGAAATGCCCTAACCAGTTTGGCTCAGTGGGTAGAGCGTCAGCCTGCGGACTCAAGCGTCCCAGGTTCGATTCCGGTCAAGGGCATGTACCTTGGTTGCGGGCACATCCCCAGTACGGAATGTGCAGGAGGCAGCTGATCGATGTTTCTGGCTCTCTATCCTTCTCCCTTCCTTGCTGTAAAAGATCAATAAAATATTTTTTTTTAAAAAAAGCAGGGCATACCTGTATTTGCCACTCTGTCTTTCTACAGACTTTAAAGCTAGAAAAATACTATCTTGTGAGTAGCAAGATAAAGTAGTTCCTTTTCCCCTCTCCACCCTAAATTCTCTCCATCACCTATATTTAGGCCCAGCCTACCCTCTGAGTTATGCCACTTACATGTTTCTGAGTACTTATATACTTACCTGGTCTTCATGATAATCCATGAAGGAGGGAAGCACTATCATACTCTCTATTTTATAGATGAAGAAATAAAGACAGAGAAGTTCAATAATTTTTCCAGATCACACAGTTAGTAAGAGATGGAGGAGGGATTTAAACCCATACAACGTGGCTCTGGAATCCACGACTCCTAGAAGTTGTTCTCCATGTCTCTACCTTTTCCAGAACTCCCTTTCCTGAAGTCTAAAGTCTGCTAATCTCCTGTCATAGCCCTGATCATTTTCTAATAAATCTTATTTAAATATTTGTGTCTCACCCTCCCCCCCCCAGTGCACTGTTATTTATCTTTGTAGTGCTCATAGAATCTTGCACCCTGATTTTTTGTATATAGGTTAAATATATATATATATATATATATATATATATATATATATATATATATTCCAAAAATGTATACACACACTTTGAATAATTATAAAGGTAGTGTTTGCATTAAAATACATTTCATTTTCAAAATTGAGCTATTAGCTGTTAAAGTGTGTATACATTTTTTTAGGATACCCTGTGGGTTTATATTATATTAAAATCTGCCATACCTTTTTATTGGTTAACAAAATCATACAGGTTTTAAGTGCACAATTCTACAACATATCATCTATACACTGTATTTTGTGTTCACCACCCCAAGTCAAGTCTCCGTCCATCACCATTTATCACCCCTATTATCTCCTCCACCTCTCCCTACACACACACACACACACACACACACACACACACACACACAAACACCACTACTTCCTCCTCCCCCTGAATAATCACCACATTGTTGTCCATATCCATGTACCCAGTGATTCTGCTTCTTGGAATTTACCCGAAAATACCCAAAACACTAATTCAAAAGAATATATGCACCTCTATGTTCATTGCAGCACTGTTTACAATAGC